TCTCTCTCTCTCTCTCTCTCTCTCTCTCTCTCTCTCTCTCTCTCTCTGTGTGTGTGTGTGTGTGTGTGTGTGTGTGTGTGGTGCGTGTGTGTGCGTGTGTGTGTGTTCATGCACACAGGCAACAGCATACTCATATGCACTGTCCCATCGTGAACGCACGAAGTAAACCTTCGGCACAATGCATGATCATCATGGTTTTATAGCTCTCACAGAAAGGTCCTCCCTCCTATCCACGTGTGTGTGTGTTGTCATGTGTGCTATACACACTCCACCAAAACGCATGTGTGTGCCAGACTGAGAACGGGGGTGTGTGGGTGTGTGTGTTCTAATCATCAATATACACAACTCCATAAAAGGAGCATGACTGTGCCAGACTGTTTCGTCAGACTTTCACCTTGTATACGTGTCGTCATACCCGTTATACACTGACCCCATCTCTCATCGGCTGGTTTGTTCCTCCCAGTTATTTCTTTCCAGTGAAACAACCACCACTTCCATCATTTCTCAGACTTCGCGCAGTCCCGCCACAGATGTCTCACATCCTCATAAAGCCAGTCACACCTGTTGCACTTGGCGCTCATGCTTCCCATCCCATCCCTTCACCCCTGACCCTTATAGCTGAGGGGACAACCAGATGTGACTGCAACTATAATAAGCATTCGAGCTTTTGTCATGGTATCTGTTTCCGTTCAGCCCACCGTGGGCCCAGGTGAGTCTAGCATAGCAATTATCCTCTATGCCATTTTGGAAAGATCATTCAAAGATGGGAATTACAGGAGATTCAACAGGGACGGATTGTCTGACCATCACGTGTGGGCTCTGTCCAAACACCTTCTAGCGAATGAAATCCGAGAGCACTGGCATCGATAATGTGGGAGGAAGAGAGAGGAAGAAAAGAAGGGTGGGAATAGTTCAAGAAGACCTCTGGACATATGGACAAAGGGTTCTGGATTGGTGCAGGTGTCACAACAACAACGAATGGTCCTAGCACCTTGGCTGGGACAGTCTGGTAATCTGTAGGCACAATGGTTAGGGACAGTATAGAGTAGGGTAGTATTATTCTACAACCAGGGCAGTCGGTTGGGTTAGTGCCGGACAAGGAAGAAAGAGGAGTCCAGGACAGTATGGAACAGAGGTTCCCACTCAGCCGGGGAGGGCGAGATCAGGCCAGAATAAGCCTGTGAAAAGTGTAGGCGTACGTAGCCTAGAGACAGGAGAGGGGGTAGGCTGAAGTCTCAGGGCAGATATTCTTTCAATCAATAAGCGAAGAAGAGTAAGGCTCTCAGTACCCGGAATCATTGTGAGGACCCCGGCCTCATTTTAATGGTTATGTTGTAATAATTGAATGTATTGCCCTTTTCCAAAAAAAAGGGACGAGGGGGAAAGGAAGACCAGGAAGAATGAGAAGAAGAAAACGGAAGAAGAATAAGAAGATCGTGATGGTAGAGAAAAGAAAAGAAAAGAAAAGACAAAAGGCAAGCTAGGTCATGATCGGAAAAAGTATGATGATGCTGATTAGGATTGTGATGATGATAAATGATGAGGATTATGGTAATGATATAAAAAAGAAAGGACGAATGATAATGATAATGAAAAAGAGGTTGAGGAGAACGATGAAAGCTTGAGAGAAGAGGATAATGAACAGGGGGATGAGGGCCAGAAAGAAACATGCGAAGGGAGGAAGAGGAGGAACAAGAATGACGGAGGAGGAGGAGAGAGGAGAAGAAAGGAGGGGGAAGAGGGGAGACAAGGAGGCCGGGGAGGGAGGGAAGGAAGAGTAATAAATAGGAGTAGGGGAGGAGTAGGGGAGGAGGAAGAAGGAAGTGGATGAAGAAGCAGCAGGAGTAGGAGGGCAAAGAGAAGAAAAAGAAAACGGAAGGATGGAGAGGGGGAACAAGGAGGAAGAGTGGGTGGGAGGGAGAAGTAATAGGAGGAGTAATAGGAGGAGGGGAGGAGGGAAGAGGAGGAAGAAAGGATGGGAGGGAGGAGAAGCCGTAGGAGATAAAGGAAGACAGAGACAGGATGGAGAAAGGACGACAGAGGTAGAAAGACGGAGGAAAGAGGAAGAAGAAGGAGGAGGAAGACGAGGAACAAGGAGGAGGAAGAGGAGGAACAAGGAGGAGGAAGAGGAGGAACAAGGAGGAGGGAGGACGAGGGCGACGAGAAGTTGGTGGGAAGGGAAACAAGCAGGAAGGAGGCACGAGGAGAAGGAAGACGAGGAGAGAAGATTAAAAAAAACGAAGTAGGGCGCGTAAGAATTTACCAAAAAAAAAAAAAAAAAAAGGAATAGCGGAGGTAACAACGAGAGAGGGCTCCAAGAAGAGGTAGCGCCAAATACAGCTATAATGACTGGGCGTTCTATTCGGGCGAAGACGGTAGTGATTTCATAACAGGTGTCACGATGCAAGTAATGATTTTCATTTTTATCTTTTTTGTACATGGTTGATGAGCGCTGGTCATGATTGCGAGCACGTGCTGCTCGACAAAAACGGACTGGTAAAGTCTTTGTCTTCTTAGTAAAAAAAAAAGATAAAAAAAAAGAAATTATTATTGATTGATTGATTGATTGATTGATTGCTGACGGCGGTGGGATCTTCCCGTGGTCAGTCTGTGAAAAGAACTTATAAAACATTGAAAAAAATAATAATAAAGAAAAAAAATCTCTACGCATTCGCTTGTGCTTCGGTCAATATAATTGTTTAGAAAGGGAAAAAATTGAAAAAAAAAGAGCTTTAAAACAAGGGAATAACTAAAACCTAAATAAACTAAATCGGGAAATAACTCAAAAAATATAAAAAAACGCTCTATAGACCTTTCTTGACCTGAAATAAGTGGGAACCTTTCCTATCATTTCATCAACCAGCCAATCATTGAATGCTACATCCGTCAACTAACTTAGCAATCCATCCATCCATCCATCCATCCATCCATCCATCCATCAATCAAAATCAATCAATCAATCAATCAATAATCAATCAATCAATCAATCAATCGACGAGTGCATCGACCAATCAAACGACCAATCCGCCAGACTGCGTGATCAAACAGTTATATCGTAGTGGACTTCAACGGAACTTAAACCATCTTCTTCTTTTTTTTTTCTTTTTTTTATAAAAAATGCTGCCTTCTCCTCATCGATCGGGGGACAGCCATATATTTTTCTCTCTCTCACCTCACATATACTTTTTAACTGTCGTTCTGCCATGTCATCATTGTCATGGAACATATCTTTCTTCTTCAGAACCTACCACTACTCCTAATTAGGGTATACAGGGGACCCCTGCAAGCATAGTTTTCTACCTCTCTTCGGTGAAGGGAGGTTACCTCTGTCGGTGGAGAGAGATGGAGAGAGATGGAGAGAGGTAACGGCATGTTTGCCCCTTTGCCCTAGCGTTTAGGGTGCAGGGTTGGGGCTGTCTACAAATACGATTTATTTATTTTTATTTATTTTTTTAATACGGGTACTACGGGGTCTCTCGACCATGGATGGAATAGGATAGTACAAGGCATACAGCAATATGGCTGCTTAGTGGACACGTGTATATATATCGTCAAACAGAGCTGCCTACGGTAAACCGTAGGGAGAGAGAGAGGGAGGGAGAAGAGGACAACAAATGAGGGACAAACCGTTTCGTCGGAGTTTCACGTACTCGTCAGCAGGCTGAACCCTAACCAGTCTGCAGAATCCCCTAACTGACTACAGTGCAAGTGATCATCCACCTTCACCCCGGTTGCGGTTAAGCATCAACGACTATATATAGCAGAGAGAATATATGTATATATTATATTGTCACACTGTGAATCAGAGCGCAGAAGCGAAAAAAAGGAAGAAGAAAAGAAGAGAAAAGAAAAAAGGGGGAGAAGAAGAGGTAAGGAAAGCTCCACCTGTTCATAACCTCTTACGTACAAGGCCAGCCACGTGGATGACAGGTTGGGCGCTGGCTGCCCCCATCCCCGTGTGTCATAAAGACCCACTTGCACGCAGCCAAAAGGCAAAGAGGTAAAGAAAAGGCGGAGGAAACCAAACCTCACAGAAGAAGAAAGCCTATTAAACAGACGAAGCAAGTACACATCCCACAGATAACCCAATTACCATCCCACAGAACATATTTTTCTTTTTTCTTTTTTCTTTTTTCTTTTTTCTTTTTTCTCAGGCTTCTTTTTTTGTGTTTTTCTTTCCTCGGTTTCTTTTTTTATCTTTTTGCTCGGCTTCTTTTTTTATCTGTTTCTTCTACACTTCACCTGTCACCCCCACGGCAGATAGGACAACTACGGTGAGGATGACGGGGATGTTCACAGGGATACCCAAGGAGAGTTGCGTTAGTGCAGCATTCAGCCGGACGGCTAGCACGAACCATCCCATCGAAACAATCCCGACATAGGACATGTTGCCCACATGTCAAGAAAACAGCAGGACGTTCGTCACAGTGCGGCATCA